CCAGTTATAATTATAGTTCCATGGTTGTGCCACAGGTGCGTTGTATACATGGATCTATTATAATAACTGGATAGGGTATTACTAGCTTGTAGCTCGGGAAATTCTCGTGGTACTGCAAACTAAATTACCCAGAAATTGTCCCATAGAACTCAATGTAAACTAAAACAGCTTATCCTCAGCTGACAGAGAACCTACAGCTTTCATAAAGGTCGGATTTTGTGGGGATTTTTGTGTCCCTTGTCATCCTGAACTTTTTTTCTTCTTAAATCCTTCAGTTTTCTTTAAATCCACATTTTACTGCCACAAACTCTACTCGTCTGGCTCTTACTCCCGCTCTAACTCTCGCTCTGATCAGCAGCTCTGATTGGTCAGAGCTGCCCCTATGTGCACGTGCATGACAGCCACGCACGCATATTTGCCGCAAAGCATCATGGGAGCTCATCCACTGCGCAGAACCGGGAGGACCAGACGATGCCCAAAAATAGGCGAGTTCCGCTAATCTCTCAGGCTCGTGAAGTCAGTTGATTCACTGTTTTGCCAAAGCCAAATTCATGAACAGAGCAGGTCGGAGCATGAGTGGGTTCATCATGGCTCCTGAAGTTACTAACAAACTTTTGGCACAAACTTCATTTTGATATATTTTTTCATTTAGACTGTAATTGTTGCTGTTTGAATAAATAAAAACATCTTAGATCAATGTTGTGTTTTTTTCTGCATTAACAAAAATGCTCCTCGCTTTAGATTAGGGTACTGCAAAATAGTGTAATAAGAAGTTTATTAATGCATATTTTTAGTGGCCTATTACCACTATTGCCTATTAATAAGCAGCGTATTCATATCTTTATAGGCATATTGTTAGTGGCCTATTAACATGGTATTGATAATAGTTTAATAAGCAGCTTATTCATATATTTATAAACATATTCCTCCTTTAATAAGTATCTTACTAATTACTTATTAAATGCTTAAAAGCATATAAATAGAACAACATCATTTAGAGAATAGTGAAATGAGCAGCTTATTAATATGTTTATAAGTACATATAAGCAATCTATAAGCATGATGCTAATGTCTATTAATACCTTATTAATACTTAATAAGCACACCTTAATATAAAGCGTTACCCATTATTTTAGTTGGTTGCTGGTGCCCCCATGACCCTGGGCACCAGCAGGAGGCCAGTTCCTGTCCTGTTTCTCAGTGTGGTCATTTTCAGCCCAAAGCACAAATAAAACAGAATCATGACATGTTTTTTAAAGGACAACTCACCCTCAAATCCACTTTTTTTTGCTGATAAACGGTATAAATGAGTGTCCAATAGTGTTGTCTACATATCCTGGTCATAATTTTGTCACTTTGGTGCAAATTAGTTGAAAGTTAAACTTTCTGCCTAAAACCGTCTGTGAGGCGCCATCTGCTGGCGACCTGTATTACTACATTTGAATTTTGAATCTGGCGCCTGAGACCTGACGTCAGCAGCCCCCCGCCCAGAGCAATATAAACGGCCCAGTCTCGTTCACTCCCCCTTTAGTCCTCCAGGCTACGCCCATTTAGAGGAAGATTTGAACAGGAAATGTGAGTGACGTAAGCTCCGAGGAGCGGGGGTGAGAACCACTTTAAAGAAAAAAAACACATTTGTATTACCTGTGTTTGACAGGTTATTTGGGATAGGGAAGGACAATTCTGCAGCTTTTTTATTGCATTGAAAATTGTATTGTCTGTATTTATGACTGTATTTAATTTCCATGCTTCCACAAAACAAGTGTGCTATTTATTTATTTATTTATTTACACATTTGAGAGGATAAACCCCTTGAGATGCATCATCTCGTTTACAAGAGGGTCCTCAAAAGAATTACAAGAAGCAAAAACACAAGACAGAAAACATATTAGTTAAGGAGGAGTAGCAGTTCAATTTTTTTCCCTAAGGTTCTATTTACAAACCTTTTTGTAGCACTACTATTTAATCATTACAAACTGTTGAGTAGTATTTCATTTGTTCAGTGCATAATTATCTAAATATGTTGACATACATACATACATACAAATTGCACAATGACTAAACGTTGCCTCTCTCTCTCTCTCATTTGGATGTGACAGAGCAGCTTGCACCATGCTGCTCCTCCACCTCCCATCTTTCATTATCTCTGTCCTGCTTCCCGGGCCTGAATCGTGGCCAAAACCCCCAATCTGGGCTCCCCTCTGCGCTCCATTTGGAGAGCAGCCGCCATGTCGGTCAGCACGCCCCCTCCCTGTAGGATCTCCTGTCTCATCGTACAGTGAGGGGGTCATGTCCCGGAGCTGAAACTTCCTCAAGTTTGTGCCGGCTGCCAAACAACACCTGCTGGCTCTGGAGTGATTATTTATTTGTTGGCGTCATGCACCCGGTCACTTCACATTATGGCTTCAGGCTGTGCATTTACAAAAGATTGAAACTGGGATTATTTCAAAATAATTAACTTTAAAGGTATTTAGAAGGAATAACACTCATGGCCTTGTTTGACGAGCAGGTATCACCAGAATGATTGACAATTAGGAGAATCAATAGTCTTGATGGAAGTAGAAAATCCGCCTATATACCTTTACGGTTTGCAGATTGGACCCCCAAAGCAGAGGCAGGAGACTGAAGACTTTTGACCCTGTTAGCTCTGGTAGTCCTGACCAGGCCGGTTCTCAACATCTGGACATGGTTCCCCAGTACTATTACGACCACTGCTCCTGACAAGAGTTCCTAGTGGCACTGGGGGAATTTCCTCTTAAGTTAGCAAATTCACTTACGACGCTCACAAAGTTTATTCCAATGTTCTTTAACTGCAAATGGCAAATTAACTTAATCTAAATCTTGCAGTGGAGGCCGAGAGAAGGCCGACTTCATTGGAGCGTGGTAAGTCCGAGAGATGGTTGGAGAGGCAGGGATGAGACACAATCGGATCTGCAGAAAACTAAAGTGAAAACACAGGTTGAATCTAAATATCTCGACGGCCGAGTTCACACAAGGCATTAAAAACCAGACCGGTGTTGATATGCAGCCAGCGAAAGTTCAATTTGGTAGACGTCAGCCAAAGGTAACCCCTCCAGGCCGGTTCTCATCCCCAGCCTATCGCGCTGCAGGAAGCAGGACGAAGCGGGAGACACAGGAGACAGACACGGCGAGGGGTGACCCCATGGTCCGGCGGCCCAGGTCGTGCAGATAAGGGTTTTTAGCCTCTTTAACTTTTATCCCGGGCTTTTAGCTTAGGTTTTATTGCTTTTATTCATTAACTTATTTTTAATGTAGTTTTATAATAAATTGCTTTTAATTTACTTTTAATCCAGTGGTCTTTTTTAAACCCGGGTCCGAAGAACCTGTTTTTTTTACACTTATACTTTTGACACATATACCTATATACTTATTTGTTCTTGTTGAATGTCTGTTCTTGTCTGTTTTGTTGTCTTTAATAAAGGAAAAATATAATATATATAGTAAGGCTGTCAAACGATTAAAATGTTTTAGTTGATTAATCGCATCGTAATGGTGAGTTAACTCACGATTAATCGCATTTTTAACGTTCTATTTCAAATCCACTCCAATTGAAGTTAAATGAGATTATCAAATGTAATGACACATTGTCATTCAAACCAAATGTACTTAAATCTGTTCAAACAATTTAATTTTGGGCGAAACCAACATGAGCTGTTAATGAAAGGGAACATTTACGTACCCCAGCTTTAATTTAAGTAAGTAAGTAAGTAAAGTTTATTTGTATAGTGCATTTCACAGACCAGGGTCACAAAGCGCTTCACACATTAAAATACATAAAATACACTCCATGTAGGCTCCATAGTTCAGCTTCAGCGGTGTGTTTGTGTGCACAGGTTACGCACAGAGTGTATGGTCTTGGATCACGTTACCGCAGCGCCATTTTCTGTGTTATTGTCAGCGGCCATCAGCCCGCATCCTCCGTGGCCGCTGACACAGAGGATACGGGGCACTTGCTGTTGTTTGTTCTGAGTGATATTATGGACACATGGGTCATTCTGAGTGATATTATGGACACATGGGTCATTCTGAGTTATATTATGGACACATGGGTCATTCGCACATGCGTTGATGCGTTAAAAAAAAAAAAACGCAATAATGAAACATTTAATTAACGTGCGTTAACGCAATAATTTTGACAGCCATAATATATATATATATATATTTGTTTTATTAAACCGTGAGCTTATTGAACACAGAACGGTGTGTGTCAGTGACCCGTGTAAATCCTCACATCCAAACCAGGTCTTCAGGTTAAGTCCAGAGATGATGTCTGTTCTTGTCTTCTTATGTGTTGCAGAACACGTTCAAAGACAGTCTTGGTTTTATTAAGTTCATGTAGAATCTTCTCCATCGCAGCAACAGTCTTTAATGCAGAGTTCCTCTTAATGTCTCCAACTGGCTTCAGTTGGCGGAAGGGGACTTTAAATGTTAGAACTTTAATCACAGCGTCGTATTCCTGCAGCTGCTTGCAGCATCTCTTCACATTGTTCACCCGTGTCTGTAACTGCTTCACTGTGGATATGAACTTTCTTTTTGTGGCCTTGATTTTCTTTACTGCCTCCTTCTTTGCTCCGCTGCTGTTTGTTCTGAATATGAGGTCTGCAACAGATTCAACAGCAAGATCATCAACAGCAACAGCAGCAGCACCAGCAGTAGCACCAGCAGCAGCAGCTCCGATTCCAACCAATGTCAAACTCAGTCCTCCTGTGAATGGAGCAGCAGCGACACCTACAGCGGCTCCTACAACGGCTCCTAGACCTATAATGACTGTAGTCAGCATTGCTACATTTCTCTTCTCAATCTTTTCCGTCTGTTCATGAATACACCTGGTCAGATTGTCCTTGTTTGTTTCAAAGAAGTCCAGAAAACGCTTGATGGACTGATTCAGTGAAAAATGTGGAGGAAAGTCTTTGCTCCGTCTTCTCTTGGAACAAAACAGAACAGAGATGAGACTGAGAGGAGACTGAAAGGAGAAAGAGATGAGACTGAGGAGTCAGAGGAGGAGAGACAGGAAGAGACAGAGGAGGAGACAGAAGAGGAGACAGAGGAGGAGAGAGAGAGGAGACAGAGGAAGAGAGAGGAGGAGACAGAAGAGGAGACAGAGGAGAGAGAGAGAGGAGACAGAGGAAGAGACAGAGGAGGAGAGAGAGAGAGGAAGAGACAGAGAGGAGAAAGAGGAGGAGAGAGAGAGGAAGAGACAGAAGATGAGACAGAGGAAGAGACAGAAGATGAGACAGAGGAGACAGGAGAAGAGAGAGGAGGAGACAGAAGAGGAGACAGAGGAGGAGAGAGAGAGAGGAAGAGACAGAGAGGAGAAAGAGGAGGAGACAGAGGAGGAGAGAGAGAGAGGAAGAGACAGAAGATGAGACAGAGGAAGAGACAGAGGAGAAGAGAGAGGAAGAAACAGAGGAGGAGACAGAAGAGGAGACAGAGGGGGAGACAGAGGAGAAGAGAGAGGAAGAAACAGAGGAGGAGAGAGAGAGGAAGAGACAGAAGAGGAGACAGAAGAGGAGAGAGAGAGAGGAAGAGACAGAGAGGAGAGAGAGGAGGAGAGAGAGAGGAAGAGACAGAGAAGAAACAGAAGTCCTCCATGGTTCTTTTATATAACTGTGGTCCTCCATGGTTCTTTTATATAACTGTGGTCCTCCATGGTTCTGTTATATAACTGTGGTCCTCCATGGTTCTTTTATATAACTGTGGTCCTCCATGGTTCTTTTATATAACTGTGGTCCTCCATGGTTCTTTTATATAACTGTGGTCCTCCATGGTTCTTTTATATAACTGTGGTCCTCCATGGTTCTTTTATATAACTGCGGTCCTCCATGGTTCTTTTATATAACTGTGGTCCTCCATGGTTCTTTTACATCATTGTGGTCCTCCATGGTTCTTTTATATAACTGTGGTCCTCCATGGTTCTGTTATATATCTGTGGTCCTCCATGGTTCTTTTATATAACTGTGGTCCTCCATGGTTCTTTTATATAACTGTGGTCCTCCATGGTTCTTTTATATAACTGTGGTCCTCCATGGTTCTTTTATATAACTGCGGTCCTCCATGGTTCTATTATATAACTGTGGTCCTCCATGGTTCTTTTATATAACTGCGGTCCTCCATGGTTCTATTATATAACTGTGGTCCTCCATGGTTCTTTTACATCCTTGTGGTCCTCCATGGTTCTGTTATATAACTGTGGTCCTCCATGGTTCTTTTATATAACTGTGATCCTCCATGGTTCTTTTATATAACTGTGGTCCTCCATGGTTCTTTTATATAACTGTGGTCCTCCATGGTTCTTTTATATAACTGTGGTCCTCCATGGTTCTTTTATATAACTGTGGTCCTACATGGTTCTGTTATATAACTGTGGTCCTCCATGGTTCTTTTATATAACTGTGGTCCTCCATGGTTCTTTTATATAACTGTGGTCCTCCATGGTTCTTTTATATAACTGTGGTCCTCCATGGTTCTTTTATATAACTGTGGTCCTCCATGGTTCTGTTATATAACTGTGGTCCTCCATGGTTCTTTTATATAACTGTGGTCCTCCATGGTTCTTTTATATAACTGTGGTCCTCCATGGTTCTTTTATATAACTGTGGTCCTCCATGGTTCTTTTATATAACTGTGGTCCTCCATGGTTCTTTTATATAACTGTGGTCCTCCATGGTTCTTTAATATAACTGTGGTCCTCCATGGTTCTTTTATATAACTGTGGTCCTCCATGGTTCTTTTATATAACTGTGGTCCTCCATGGTTCTTTTATATAACTGTGGTCCTCCATGGTTCTTTAATATAACTGTGGTCCTCCGTGGTTCTGTTATATAACTGTGGTCCTCCATGGTTCTGTTATATAACTGTGGTCCTCCATGGTTCTGTTATATAACTGTGGTCCTCCATGGTTCTGTTATATAACTGTGGTCCTCCATGGTTCTGTTATATAACTGTGGTCTTCACATTTTGTTATGTTACAGCCTTATTCCAAAATTGATTCATTTTTTCCTCACAATTCTACACATAAAACCCCAAAACAACAACATGAAACATTTTTTGGGGGAGATTCTTGCAAATGTATTCAAAATAAAAACGAAGAGACCAAATGTACATAAGTATTCACAGCCTTTGCCATGAAGCTCAAAGTTGAGCTCAGGTGGATCCTGTTTCCACGGATCATCCTTGAGATGCTTCTACTGCTTCAATGGAGTCCACAGGTGGACTGGTAAATTCAGTTGTTTTGACTTGATTTGGAAAGACACACACCTGTGTATATATAAGGTCCCACAGAAAGGCAGACACCTGTATATATAAGGTCCCACAGAAAGGCACACACCTGTATATATAAGGTCCCAAAGAAAGGCACACACCTGTATATATAAGGTCCCACAGAAAGGCACACACCTGTATATATAAGGTCCCACAGAAAGGCACACACCTGTATATATAAGGTCCCACAGAAAGGCACACACCTGTATATATAAGGTCCCACAGAAAGGCACACACCTGTATATATAAGGTCCCACAGAGAGGCACACACCTGTATATATAAGGTCCCACAGAAAGGCACACACCTGTATATAAGGTCCCACAGAAAGGCACACACCTGTATATATAAGGTCCCACAGAAAGGCACACACCTGTATATATAAGGTCCCACAGAAAGGCACACACCTGTATATATAAGGTCCCACAGAAAGGCACACACCTGTATATATAAGGTCCCACAGAGAGGCACACACCTGTATATATAAGGTCCCACAGAGAGGCACACACCTGTATATATAAGGTCCCACAGAAAGGCACACACCTGTATATATAAGGTCCCACAGAAAGGCACACACCTGTATATATAAGGTCCCACAGAGAGGCACACACCTGTATATATAAGGTCCCACAGAAAGGCACACACCTGTATATAAGGTCCCACAGAAAGGCACACACCTGTATATATAAGGTCCCACAGAAAGGCACACACCTGTATATATAAGGTCCCACAGAAAGGCACACACCTGTATATATAAGGTCCCACAGAAAGGCACACACCTGTATATATAAGGTCCCACAGAAAGGCACACACCTGTATATATAAGGTCCCACAGTTGACAGTACATGTCAGAGCACAAACCAAGCATGAAGTCAAAGGAATTGTGTGTCGACCTCCGAAACAGGATTGTCTCGAGGCACAAGTCTGGGGAAGGAACAGAAACATTTCTGCTGCTTTAAACTCTTTGGCGTGAATGCCAGGCGTCATGTTTGGAGGAAACCAGGCACAACTCATCACCAAGCCAATACCATCCCTACAGTGAAGTATGGTGGTGGTAGCGTCATGCTGTGGGGATGTTTTTCAGTGGCAGGAACTGGGAGACTAGTCAAGATGAAGCTGTCCACCAGCTCATGTCCTCCCCCTGGATGTTCAGCAGCTTGTGGGAAAGCAATTCTCTCCTGAAATTGAGGACCATCTCCTTGGTCTTACTGGTGTTAGCACAGGTACCATCTCATTGGCCTTACTGGTTGGGGGTAGTTGATGGTTCTATGCAGTGAGGTTCCTGTCCTCCTCCCGCGTCTTCCATCTTCTCCCGCAGCAGTGCCGGACTGATGGTGTTGAAAGCACTGGAGAAGTCGAAAACATGACCTCACAGCGCCCCTGCAGGCTCCAGGTGGGAGAGCGTCCACTGCAGTAAGTAATGACGGCGTCCTTTACTCCGATGTTGAGCAAGAGCTCCACTGGAGTTCCTCTGCTCCAGAGGTCTCTGTCCTGTGAGGTGTCTGTGCTGTGACCAGTGGGGGCGGGTCCCGGCTCAAAAGTGGCCAAAATGACATGCGCTGACGTGCTGCAATACCACCCCGGGCCTGTGGGGGGTGGACCCGGAATAAGAATTAGCCAATGCTAACATATAGCATTAGCAGACCTCTCGAAAACGTCTTTACAGGATGGTCCAAAACTTGGCTCTTGGCCCAAAACTCCGTTCCACATGTGTGTCAATGCTGAGGGGGGTGTTCTGGACCAGTCTAGTTTAGTCGCTGTGGACTTTTGAAGTCACTTGTTTAAATGAATGGGGCTCGTGCCGACTGACGCATGCGCAGATGCGTTTTTTCAAATTTTCCAGTCCCCGCGGCCATTTTGAATCACTCCAAGAAAGCCTAATTTTTGGCTCATTAGTTAGAACGGCGGAGATAGGTGTGACTACGTCTGTTATTATATAGAGATATGGCTGTGAGGTGCTGGTCCCTGACTCTGTGCTGATCCCAGGATAGTGCAGGACACAGAGGGAAACTTACATCTTCAGGGTTCATAATTAAACACAGAGGTTTCAACTTTCAAACTAACCTTCTCTCAAGACGAGTGTAAGGGCTCTGTTCTTTATCCATCAGAAGGTTTCACAGACTGGACCTGAAATCACAGACAGGGTTAGAGACGTGAGTGTGTGTGTGTGTGTGTGTGTGTGTGTGTGTGTGTGTGTGTGTGTGTGTGTGTGTGTGTGTGTGTGTGTGTGTGTGTGTGTGTGTGTGTGTGTGTGTGTGTGTGTGTGTGTGTGTGTGTGTAGGGGGGACATATATTGAGAACCTTCAAATGTAACTTCAGATATAACAAACAAAATAGAAAGGCGCCATATAAACAAATGTATTTTAAAAGTCCTAAAAAGGCTCAAACATGTCCAAAGCTGCTTCAAGGCTCATACTCAGAGGGGATGGGGATCTTTCCAGTGTTCCCCATTTCAGGCACAAAGGGCGGGTGCAGATAAGAGCCAGGGTCGCACTACCTCATTAACATTAGGATTGGATAAATATGATGATAATGATAATAATGATAATATATTTATTATTTATATGTGTGTGTGTCCAGGGTCAGTGAGTGTGTGTCTAGGGTTAGTGTGTGTGTCCAAAAAGATTTTACAAATGTGTGGGTTCCTCATCACAGTTCAGAGAATCAAACAGTTCAAACACAGTAGATGCAATAATAACAAACACAGCAGCCATGTGTTTGACCTCTGTCTGTGGTAACGACAGAAATGTCCTGGATCCTGCTACAATGTAACCCACTGCAGAAATAAATAACACAGTAAATGCATTTACTGTGTTATTCAGAAAGAAAGTGTCACTTCAGAGACGACAGATTTAAACAGTTCTTCAGAGACATGTTCAGTTCTCACCTGTCGCAGCAGCAGAAGTGTGTGTGTGTTAAGAGATATTTAATCCCCAGTCCAAAGGTCCTGATTGTAGTAAAATAAATGACGATCAAAGTCTGCTCCAGTTCATGAGTTCCGTTTTCCGTATTTTATTACTTGTCACGATGGGTCATAATAAAATGCTATGATGAAAACATAATGAAACACAATAAAACAGAACAGAATACATTGATTGTTTGAAGACA